GTCAGCCCTCGTATATATTATACAAGGGCCCACTTAGAGAGCTTGTATTTCTCAACCAGTGGAATATCATACAACAGGAGCCATTATATCAACTTCTTTGCCATTCAATTGTTCACAATCTGTCATAGTTCTTCTTTCCCTGTATATCTGAGTTGCTTGGTTTGTTTTGTTTGTTTTTTTAGTTGGAGTCTCACTCTATCACCCTGGCTGGAGGGCAGTGGCATGCTCACAGCCACCACAGCCTTGACTGCTGGGCTCAGGCAATTATTCCATCTTAGCCTTCCAAGTAGCTGGAACTACAGGCATGTACCACCATGCCTGGCTAATTTTTTGATTTATTGTAGAGATGAGGTCTCACCAAGTTGCCCAGGCTGGTCTCAAACCAGTGGGCCCAGGCAATCCTCTCACCTCAGCCTCCCAAAGTGCTGGGATTATAGGTGTGAGCCACTGAGCCCAGCCCAAGTTTCTTGTTTTTGTACAGTGGTTTTCAGAATTAAACTTTTACCGTGGTGTCTAAAAGATTTTTATATTACTTTTTACCTTGGCCTTACATACACAGTGAGCAAAAGATTCCAGAGTCTTAGAAAGTCAGGGAGACTGACAGTGAATAAAAAGAAAGAATATTACAACTTACATTCACATTTGAAATTACTAGGATTTTTTTTTGGTTGAAGTTGAGGTCTTACTCTGTAGCCAGGCTGGAGTGAAGTGGCAGGATCATGGCTCACTGTAGCTTTGACCTCCTGGGCTGTAGTAATCCTCCTGCCTCCACCTTCTGAGTGGCTAGGACTATGGGCACACGTTATCATGCCCAGCAAATGTTTTCACTTTTTCTGTAAAGATGAGGTCTTGCCATGTTGTGTAGGCTGGTCTTGAACTCCTGGGCTCAAGCAATCCTCCCACCTTCGCTTCCTAAAGTGCTGGGATTATAGACATGAATCCCTACACCAAGCCACTAAGTTCTTTTGAATAAAATGTCATGCTATACTAAATAATAAAGGTGTTAATTTGTTGGTACAGGAATGACTTCACAATATTTTCCCTGAAAGAAGTCATGTTTTTCACCTAAGTTCATTTACCCTAAGAATTTTCTTTTCTTCTTTTTTGACTTTGCTTTATGAAAAACTGCAAATATTGGTCAGGCATGGTGGCTCACAGCTGAATCCCAGCACTTTGGAAGGACAAGGCAGGAGGATCACTTGAGCCTAGTTCAAGACAGCCTAGGCAACATAGTGAGACCTTGTCTCTACAAAAAATTTTTTAAAAATTAGCTGGGCGTGGTGGCATACACTGTAGTCCCAGCTACTCAGGAAGCTGAGGTGGGAAGATCACTTGAATCCAGGTTGTGGCTGCAGGAAGCTGTGATCGTGCCACTACACTCCATCCTGGGTGACAGAGTAAGACCCCCAACTCAAAAAAAAAAAATGAAAGAGAAAAACTGCAAACATAAACATGTATATCTAAAAAGACTCTTCTTATTTCAAGAATTAAGGTATTTTTCATACAAAACCAGAATACCTTATTAACACCTAATAATACCCTTAAACCAATTGGTAGCGTGACATTAACATCTTAATAATTGTATAAAATTTAATTGTAAAAGGTAAAAGACTTGAAAGACCTTGAACAGTAAGACCTTGAAAATGTCTGTGACATTCCCTATCTGTACCCCTGTACCTGAAGGCAGTTCCAGAATGAAGAGTTAATTCTAGATTGCCAAAATAACTTTTAATTCTATAATAATTTAATTATAATTAATAATTATATAATTCTTTAATTCTTAATTCTATTGCTGAAACTCACAAATTGCAGCGTTGCTTTTTTTTTTTTTTTTTTGAGTTGCGGTCTCACTCTGTCGCCCAGACTGGAGTGCAGTGGCCGCTCCCAGCCACCTCAGCCTCAACCTGCTGGGATCCAGCGATCCTTCCGCCTCACCCTTCCAAGTAGCTGGAACTACAGGCACACGCTACCACGCCCAGCTGATTTTTTTATTTATTGTAGAGATGAGGGCTCGCCAAGTTGCCCAGGCGAGTCTCGAACCCACAGGCTCAGGCAATTCACTCACATCGGCCTCCCAAAGAGCAGGATTACAGGCTGAGCCACTGAGCCCGGCTGCAGCGTTGCTTTTCTAATCAGATGTAGAAAAGTTCTGCCATAGACAAAGCATCAGGCTTCAAACAGGAAGCAACACCATTGACTTCCAAAGTGGTGACCTTCCTGGCTTATGAACACTCTTTTTTTTTTTTTTTTTTTGAGTTGGAGCCTCACTCCGTCACCCAGACTGAAGTGCAGTGGCACGCTCTTGGCCACCACAACCTCGACCTGCTGGGCTCCAGCGATCCTTCCGCCTCAGTCTTCCAAGTAGCTGGAACTACAGGTGCGCACTACCACGCTCGCTAATTTTTTATTTACTGTAGAGACAAGGTCTCGCCAAATTGCCCAGATGGGTCTCGAACCCGCGGGTTCAGGCAATCCACACGCCTCAGCCTCCCAAAGTGCTGGGATTGCAGACTGAGCCATAGGAAATACTTCAGTGTTCAGAGAATAAGCAAAGCAAAAAACAGGTCCAGAAATCTGGGAGCTGGCCTCCCCTTCCCACAAGGCCAAGTCTTATACTGTTGGAAAGAAACATGTCATACACCTCAGCCTGCAATCCCAGCACTTTCGAGCCTGGCAATGAACACTCTTTGGGCCTGCACATCACTGTCCTCTCTGGAGTGATCCTTGAGCTGTTTGTTAAGCATCAAGACACTCCAATAGTCAAGGTCAAGACCCAGGTTCTCAGCTGTGTCCTGCTCTTCTCCCTCCCACTATACTTCCAGAGTTCCCTTACCTTCACTGACCTTCCCAACACAGCACCTGCATCCTTTGGAAATTCACACTTGGAGTCATGTTGATGGTGGTGTTTCTCCTCTGTGGCAAATACTACCACTGTGGAGTTAGCCTTCAAGGGAGAAGGATGAAGCAGTGGTTGGATTTGAAAGCACCTAACTCTGTCATTGTCAGTTTTCTGATCCAAATGACTACAATCTGACAGGCAATGACTCCACCCTTCACTCCTGTGGATACATTATCTGGGGCTGAATTTGCCATCTCCACAGTCAGGGTTTGGTCACTGACTGCTACTCTAACCTGTGATATCTGCTTTGACTCTGAAGAGTTTCAACCAGGATTTTCAGGACAGGAGCTTGCCAGACACCTTCAATGAAGTGACTGGATTATTTCATACCAGTGTAAACATAAAACTGACTTGTGCATATTACTTTTTACTCTACAGTGCTGGCATAAGAGGACTGTTGATAAATTAGCATCAGGAGCACATTATCTAAGCTCAAAAGGCTTAGTTGCTGACTTTGTTCCTTCCGAGGCTTGTGTTTGGACAGTTTACCTAAACATGTTGGCCTCACTAAACATGTAAAGGAGATTTTTAAAGAGTATTATATAGTTTGCTAAGGAATAAGTAAAATGTATATATTTTAACTGAGGTACATAATGGAAAACAGTGTCCAATACAACATAGGAAATACTTCAGTGTTCAGAGAATAAGCAAAGCAAAGACAGGTTCAGAGATCTGGGAGCTGGCCTCCCCTTCCCACAAGGCCAAGTCTTATACCATTGGAAAGAAACATATCATACACCTGCAGCAGCAGACAATGCTCCTCAGTGACCATGATGGGGCAAGACAAAAACAAGACCATGTCTCTAAAACTGGTGAAAGTGAATACATTGCACGTTATTTAAAAATTGACCAAGGCCAGGTATGGTGGCTCACACCCATAATCCTAGCACTTTGGAAGGTGGAAGAGAGAGGACTGCCTGAGCCCAGGGGTTCAAGACCAGTCTGGGCATCTTGGTGAGACTTCATCCCTATGATAAACCAAAACAATTAGCCGGGCGTGGAAGGCTGAAGTGGAAGGATCACCTGAGCCCAACAAGTTGAGGCTGCGGTGGCTGTGAGCGTGCAACTGCACTCCAGCTTGGGCAACAGAGTCAGACTCGGACTAAAAAAAAACAAACAAAACTATCAACCTGAAACAAGCACAAATTCTATACAAAATTCTTCTGGGTACCCTCTTATTGATATATCACACAGTAATTTATGGTTTACAGTTATTACTAAAATTTATTACACCCTCTTTGACAACAGGTATAGTCCTGGTGGCCTTTGGCAAAAGGACACATACAATAGTATAATTTAACTTTTGGTATTACGAGTAAATGAGACATTACTATCACACTAAAAGTTATAACTATATAAACATGAAAAGTAAAATTTACATGAGGGAAAAAATTCCTGAAGTTGTATACACATGGTAACACTGACTTCACAATGTCTTACAAATAACTTGCCAAAATTATAAGCTTGATCTGATCCAAGACTTAAAACAGTTAATAAACTATTGCTTGAATAAAAATACATATTGTTTTAGTCACATAAAGTCACGCATAATTAAAAACAGACTGAGACATTACATTCAGCTGTGAGTAACAAAAAGCGCCCAGTCTTAACATGAGAATGATGCTTATTTTTACATGAAAATACTGGGGACGACCAGTCACTGGACAATATAGCAGAGGAACAAGCTCCCATCTAGTTGGTTTTGATGGCAAAAATGTAGCTATCATGCTAAATCAAGAACACAATCACTACCAGTATGATCAAAGGTGCTTACTATACAAATTAGACCTTATACAAATTCAATCTACCAAGCAAGTCAGAGCATCAGAGAACAGTCCCAACCAAGACAGTCTGAATTGGCTGCCTACACACATAATGTCTGAAGGCAAACCAAAACATGGATGGATATTCATTGTGAAACTTCTAGAGACTTGTGTGGAAACCTACACCTCTGAGAAAATGAATGTTGAGTAGTTTTGAGGATTCTCTTGACTGATAACACAAAAAATCAGAAAAGTGGACTGGAAACAGGTGGCCTCAGAGCCTGTATGCAGCTGGCTGTCTCCCCATATGGTGCCCCCAACCCATGACTAATGCCTTCTTCACTTCTGCCCTCCAAATCTCATGTGAGATAGGTAACTGGTGAACTGTATCATGGAAACATACATGGAAAGGATGCTGGGAAATCTAGTTGCTAACATTATCAACATCGACATAACACAATCCATAGCTCTAACTCCAACTATAGATATACTGTCCTGTCACAGGTCTCTCCTAATTCAAATTCTTATTGGGTCTTTCTCCACTGCAAATCTTTTCGTGTTGTTGAAAGAAATGGGAAGGACTGAAGCCTTTCCCGAATTTCTTACTTTCATAGAGTTTCTCTAAGTGTAACTCCTTTCATGTTTATGAAAGAAACTGGAACAGAAGGGCTAGGGCTAGGGTTCTCATAGGGTTTCTCTCCAATATGGGTTTTTTCATGTATTCGAAAGTAAGTGGATCTACTGAAGGCCTTTCCACATTGTTTACATTCATAGGGTTTCTCCCCAGTATGAGTTCTTTCATGTATTCGAAAGTAACTGGAACGACTGAAGGCTTTCCCACATTTTGTACACTTATAGGGCTTCTCTCCAGTGTGAATTCTTTCATGTTTTCGAAAGGAACTGGAACAACTGAAGGCTTTCCCACATTGCTTACAATCATAGGGTTTCTCTCCAGTGTGAGTTCTTTCATGTATTCGAAATGAACTGGGAAAATCAAAGGCTTTTCCACACACCTTACATTTGTAAGGTCCATTGCCAGTGTGCTTTATCATGTGTCTTCGAACACTTGCAAGACAAGTCAAAGCCTTCCCACATTCCTTACATTCAAAAAGTTTCTCTCCAGTGTGAGTCCTTTCATGACTTCGAACAGAACTGGCACATCTAAAGGCTTTCCCACATTGTTTACATTCATAGGGTTTCTCTCCGGTGTGAGTCCTTTCATGTATTCGAATGTACTTGGAACAACTGAAGGCTTTCCCACATTGCTTACATTCATAGGGTTTATCTCCAGTGTGAGTTCTTTCATGTATTCGAATGTAACTAGAACAACTGAAGGCTTTCCCACATTGCTTACATTCATAGGGTTTCTCTCCAGTGTGACTTCTTTCATGTATACGAAATAAACTGGGATAATCAAAGGCTTTTCCACATACCTTACATCTATAAGGTACACCTCCCCTGTGCATTATCATGTGTCTTCGAATGCTCACAAGAGAAATGAAGGTTTCTCCACATTCCTTACAATCATAAGGTTTTCCTCCAGGATGAGTCCTTTCACGTACTGGAAAGGAGTGCTGATAATTGAAGGCTTTCCCACACTGGTTTCGTGTATATGGCTTCTTTCCATATTCCTGATATGCATTTGGTTGATGTCCAGGGTCAGCTCTGATGTGCCCATTAAGGGATGAATGACCAATGCCAGCTTCTCCACACACACTGCTTTCACATGCTTCCACTCCAGGAGGAGTTCTGTTGTTCACAATACCATTTTGACTACCTACTTTACTTTCACAGAATCTCTCTAGAATATGACTTCTGTAAAAAATGAGAAGCACATTAGTAATGGTTTGTTCATAAATGATTTTATATTTATTAATAGGTATTAGACTTACATTTCTAACATTATCAGGGAAAGTGAAAGTTTTTTACCCTGTCTCAACTGTAAGACCATGAATGGACTAAAAACTCTGTAAGATGTCATGACCATACCTAGTACCAAAAATGATATTTATGAGGTTTCTTAATACTGCCTGAAAGTGAACTATTTTACAAACACTAAACATCTATTATCACACTTAAATATACTTTTAGAGAACATTTCCTAAGAATAAATACATTTTACACTGGACTTATTTGTTTGACTGCTTCTTTTGAACATTTTCTGGCATTCTACGATTCTCACAAGGAACACTGCTTTCTTTTTCTTTTTCTTTTGAGTTGGAGTCTCACTCTATCACCCAGGCTGGAGTGCAGTAGCCAGCCCAACATCAACCTGCTGGGTTCAGGCGATCCTCCCGCCTCAGCCTTCCAAGTAGCCAGAACTACAGGCACGCACTACCGCATCCGGTGAATTTTTCTTTTTTTATTGTAGAGATGAGGTCTTGCCAAGTTGCCCAGGCTGTTTTTGAACCCATGGGCTCAGGCAATTCACTCACCTCAGCCTCCCAAAGTGCTGGGATTACAGACTTGAGCCACCACACCCAGCGGAACATTGCTTTCTTTCATGTGCACAAATTACCTTAAATTTGTCCTGGGATTTTTGGACTGATTGTTAATGTTCTGGTCTTCCCACTGTGTTCCTAAAATGTAGATCAAGAAAAGTCATTATGAATTAGTATAAAAATGTGAAAAAAGTATTAGATTCTATGTCCATGGTACACTATGGCTATGCTTGATTTATCCAAAGTATTGCCCGTCCATATTCCAAATCACTGAACAGCACTGATGAGCCAGACATACTTGCCCTCTAATTCATTAAGTGAAGGAATATTGTCACTCTTACCTATAGAGGCCAGGTTCTTGAAGGTTTCCCGCATCACATCTCTGTAGAGATTCTTCTGAGAAGGATCCAACAAAGCCCACTCCTCCAGGGTGAAGTTCACAGCGACATCCTCAAAGGCCACTGAATCCTGAAATATCCCACATATGTAGAGGATGGGTGAAACTGACTGCCAGGGAAACCTATATTTTCTAAAAAGTTCACATGAGACCAAGGTGGGAGGATTTCTTGAGCCCAGGAATTTGAGACCAGCCGAAGCAACATAGTGAGACCTCATCTCTACCAAAAAATTAGCCAGGTATGGTGGTATGTGCCTGTAGTCCCAGCCACTTGGGAGACTGAAGCAGAAGGACTGCCTAAACCCAGGAGGTCGAGGCTGTGGTGAGTTGTAGTTATGCCACTGCACTCTAGCCTGGGTGACAGGGTGAAACTCTAACTTAAAAAGAAAAAAAGAAGTTCACATCATGCTGTGGACTCCAAACATTTATTCTATGACTCCATGAATTTATCGAATTTATTCTCTGTCTATACTCACTTCCTCCCAAGCAGCAATTCTAATGCTACAATTGAACTGTTCAGTAAAGCAACTTTTCAGTAAAGAAGAATAGGAATGTGCCTCTTTTTGATGGGACAGACCCCAATGTCTGTAGCACCTGTTATGACACAGATCTACTAATAAGTAGGTGCAGACAACAGTTAATATTAGCCACCCTGGGACTGTGTATCCTTAGTTTTCTTGTTGTTCCCAAAGCCGACCTTTGGTAGAACCTGGGTACTAGATTTTGGACTGGACCCACCAACCTAACAAATAAGAGTCATAACTGGCCAGGCGTGGTGGTTCACACCTATAATCCCAGCACTTTGCGAGGCTGAGGTGAGAGGATTGCCTGAGCCCATGGGTTCAAGACCAGCCTGGGCAACTTGGTGAGACCTCATCTCTACAATAAATTAAAAATATATATATTAGCTGGGCATGGTGGCGCATACCTGTAGTTCCAGTTACTTGGAAGACTGAGGAGGGAGGATCGCCTGAGCCCAGCAAGTTCAGGCTGTGGTGGCCAAGAGCATGCCACTGGCCTCCAGCCTGGGTGACAGAGTGAAAATCCAACTCAAAAAAAAAAAAGTCATAACTTATCGGAACAGAATTCCATAGCAAATCTCTGTGGGAAGCAATATAGGAGCAAGAAAACCTAAAATATAACTGATGAATTACTAAAGGCTGAATGTGGACAAATTTAAGAAGTAAAAATCCAGAGGGCCCTTTCTTAGGGGGGCCCCAGTAATTTGTGAGTTTTACCAGCAGAAACCTTACTAGTTCTCAGTGAAGAGCAGAGAAAAATTACTTTGTGCTTCCAGGAGAAGCGGAAGGAGGGAAAGAGTAACCATCCTGAAATATGCTCAGAGAATTCTGCTTTGTTTTGTTTTATTTTTTTGAGTTGGAGTCTCACTCCATCACCCTGGCTGGAGTGTATACCAGGCTCACGGCCACCCCAGCATTGACTTGCCAGGCTCCAGTGATCCTTCTGCCTCAGGCTTCCAAGTAGCCGGAAATACAGGCATGTGCTACCATGCCCGGCGAATTTGGGAGGCAGAGGCGAGAGGCTTGCCTGAGCCCAGGGGTTCAAGACCAGCCTGGGAAAAATAGCAAGACCTCACCTCTACAACAAATAAAAAAAATTAGCCAGGCCTGGTGGCTCATGCCTGTAGTAGTTCCAGCTACTTAGAAGGCTGAAGTGGAAGGATAACCTAGGCCCAGCAAGTCAAAGCTGTGGTAGCCATGAGTGTGCCACTGCACTCCAAGCTGGGTGACTCCGACTCAAAAAAAAAAAAGAAAGAATAGAATACAGAGCCCAGATAGATATACACATAAATAAAATGACTTTTGACAAATATGCCCAGAATAGTCAGTGGGGAAAAAACACGTTTTTCAAAAAATGGTGCTGGGAAAATTGAATATTCACATGTATAAGAATGAAGCTGAACCCTAAACCTACCTACAAAAATGAAATAAAAATGGATTGAAGACCTAAAGGTAACAGTTAAAACTAAACAACTCTTAGAGAAAATGTTAAAAATTATGGGAGGGCCGGGCTCGGTGGCTCAGCCTGTAATCCCACGCCTTTGGGAGGCTGAGGTGAGTGAATTGCCTGAGCCCAAAGGGTTCGAGACCCGCCTGGGCAGCAAAACCTCATCTCTACAATAAATTAAAAAATCAGCCGGGTGTGGTGGTGCATGCCTGTAATTCCGGCTACTCGGAAGGCTGAGGTGGAAGGATCGCCGGAGCACAGCAGGCCGAGGCTGCGGTGGCCGGGAGCAGCCACTGCACTCCAGTCTGGGCGACAGAGTGAGACTCCAACTCAAAAAAAAATAAAAAAATAAAAAAAATTATGGGAGGCCATTGTTTTGGACTGAGCCATACAAAAAGATGAAAAAGGTGAGGGTTTTATTTATTTCATTCTCTTTTTCTTTCTTAGTTCACAGCATTCCAGAAACCTCTATCAAAACAGTATCTGAATGCAAGCCAAAGAAATGAGAGACTTCAGTGGCTACACACAAGGAATATAGTCTCTGCATAAAAAACTTTCAAAAGGTTATGAAACAGACAAGAACAGTCTTCAACAAACAAGAATAGTCAACACTGGAGAAGCAGCAGCATCTGATCTCCTTGTTACTTCATTATAATATTCAAATGTCCACTTTCAACAACAACAACAATCACAAAGACAGAGAAACAGAAAAATACAGCTCACGAATGGAAAAAAATCTAACTGAAAATTAATTGAGATAAACCATCTCCGAGAATCCCCAGTAACTGGACTCATTAGACAAAGACTTTATGCAACTGGCTTAACTATGCTCAAAGGTAAAGGCAACCATGGAGAAAGAAATAAAGGTAACCAAGAAAACTGTATGTTTACAATATCAACAAAAAATTAGGAATTACAAAACAGATCATACAGACAGTATGGTGATGCAAAGTACAACTAAAATGAAAATTTCTCTGTAGGTGTTCAGTGGTAAATTTGAGCAAGCAAAATAAACAATTATCTAACATGAAGACAAAATTATTGAAATTAACCAATCTTAAGAAAAAAATAAATATGGGAAAAATTGCTGGAGTTTAGTTTCACAACAAGGTGAGGATAGTTAACACTACTAAACTATACACAAAAATGCTCAAGATGCAGGGTGCAGTGGCTCACACCTGTAATCCCAGCACTTTGGAAGGCAGAGGCGAGAGGATTGCCTAAGCCTGTGGGTTCGAGATCAGTCTGAGCAACATGGCAAGACCTCATCTCTATAATAAATTTAAAAATTAGCCTGACATGGTGGCACATGCCTGTGGTTCCAGTTACTTGCAAGGCTGAGACAGAAGGATCACCTGCCTAGCAGGTCAAGGCTGTGGTGACCGTGAGTGTGCCACTACATTCCAGCCTGGGTGACAGAGTGAGGCTCTGACTCAAAAAAAAAACAAAAAACAGATTTTGGCCAGGTGCAGTGGCTCAGCCTGTAACCCCAGCACTTTGGGAAGCCGAGGCGAGAGGATTGCCTGAGCCTGGGGGTTTGAGACCAGCCTTGGCAATTTGGTGAGACCTCGTCCCTACAATAAATCACAAAAACTAGCCGGGTGTGGTGGCATGCATCTGTAGTTCCAGCTACCTGGAAACTGAGGTGGAAGGATCAACTAAGCCCAGCAGGTTGAGGCTGCGGTTGGCCATGAGCGTGCCACTGCACTCCAGGCCTGGGAGACAAGAGTAAGAGTGAAAGAGTGAGATTCCAACTCAAAAAAAAAAAAAAAGATGACAGATTTTTAAGAACTTCAGTAGACATTTCTCCAATATATAAACAAATGGCCAGTAAGCACATAAAAAGAAGCTCAACATCACAAATCATTAGGAACAAGGATCCTACATAATGTAGTTTCAAATGGTTATTCAGTGCTTTCCTCTCGTAAAATATCCATCAACAACAAAAAAGCACCTTTTAAATAGAGACATTTATTGTCCACTGGAGAGAGGAAGTTGGCATTTTAGAATGTAAGGAAAGAGCCAGGCTCGGTGGCTCAGCCTGTAATCCCACGTTTTGGGAGGCTGAGGTGAGTGGATTGCCTGAGCCCACAGGTTCGAGACCCGCCTGGGCAACTTGGCGAGACTTCATCTCTACAACAAATCAAAAAAAATTAGCTGGGCGTGGTAGCACATGCCTGTAGTTCCAGTTACTTGTAAGGCTGAGGCGGAAGGATCGCCGGAGCCCAGCAGGTCGAGGCTGCAGTGGCCGAGAGCGGCCACTGCACTCCAAGTCTGGGTGACAGAATGAGACTCCAACTCAAAAAAAAAAAAAAAAAAAGAATGTAAGGAAGGAAACTGAAATTTAGGGATTCATTGTCAGACCTAGGAAGAATTAGGCCAGAATGCCCTCTTTGACCAAACTTGAGTCATGCATCCTCAAAGCCTTCTTCTTGGCTAGGCCTTGGCATTGACCTGCAAAGGCTAGTTTTAGCAAGACTCCTTCTAAGGCAGTTTAGTGGGAATCCCTCTAAACTTGATAGCCAATCAAGTTCCTCCCCCGCCATGATACCTAACCAAGTTCTATCCCCTCCCTCACCTTGTCCATTGACTATAATCCCATTACTATAACTGCTGCATTCAAGGTTGAGTTCAATCACTCAGCCCATTATAGTCATCATGGCTCATATAACAACTGTGTTGAAGAGAGCCTTCCTTGATGGTTTTTTTGTTTGTTTGTTTTTTTGAGTTGGAGTCTCACTCTGTCGCCTAGACTGGAGTGCAGTGGCCGCTCCCGGCCACCGCAGCCTCGACCTGCTGGGCTCCGGCGATCCTTCCGCCTCAGCCTTCCAAGTAGTTGGAACTACAGGCACGCACTACCTACCACACCCAGCTAATTTTTGATTTATTGTAGAGATGAGGTCTCACCAAGTTGCCCAGGCGGGTCTCGAATCCTTGATGTTTTAAACAAGTTTCTGGTGAAATCTCTCCTTAACAGGAGAGGAGACAAGGCCTTAAAACATGAGACCCAGCTGCTACACACGTATGGAATGCATAGAGGAAAATAGTTTGCCTTCCCCAGGGGAGGAGCTGGAGACACATAAGCCATCTGCTAGGCCCAGTC